CTGGAGGGTGCCTGTTTGTCTTCGTGCCCGGAGGGGACGACCGAGGAGGGCGGCTCGTGCGTCCCCTGCCCGGTGGGCTGCTCGGCATGCACGGACCCGGCTACCGGACAGTGCTCTGTTTGCCGGGCATCATGGGTGCTGCTTGCTGGCACCTGCGTCGAAAGCTGCCCCCCGGGACAGTATGCGGCCGATGCCGAGCTCGGGGGCCAGGTGTGCCGGGCGTGCGACGGCACATGCCTCGAGTGCTCCGGGCCCGGCCCGGCCAAGTGCTCGGCGTGCCCGCCGGGGCTGATGCTCCATGAGGGCCGGTGCGAGGGGTCTTGCCCGGCGGGCATGTTCGAGTGCCTGCTGGCCGGGCGGTGCGAGGCCTGCCCGGCCGGGTGCACGGCATGCACCGTGGCCGAGGAGAGCCCGGTGGGGTGCGCGGCCGCCTGCTCGGCCTGCCAGGGGGGCCTCTTCCTGTCCTTTGCCACGGGCGAGTGCCTGCCTGGCTGTCCGCTCGGGGAATATGCCCCGGCTGGCTTGGCATCCTGTGCTCCGTGCCAGGAGGATTGCATGAGCTGCCACCAGGTGGCCTCCCTGTGCACCAGCTGTCGGAGGGGCCTTCTGCTGGAACATATGGGGGCCTGTGTGGCTGCCTGCCCGGGGTCGGGCTTTTCGCCGGAATGGCTGCCCAGCCCGGTGTGTCGTGCCTGCGCCGAGGATTGCGACCGTTGCACCGCCGGCCCCAGCACGCCGGCGTGCGATGTCGCCCCCTCCGGGGCACTCACCTGCCCGATGGTGGACACCTGTGACCGATGCTCCGGGGACCGCCTCCTGCTAGGGGGCGTGTCATGTGTGCCCACTTGTCCGGAGGGCTTTTTCGCCGATCACGAGGCCCCGGCCCCGGCATGCGTCCCCTGCCACTCGGGCTGCGGCACATGCGTCGGGCCCGGGCTGGCTGACTGTCTTGACCGGCGGGACCGTGCCTCCAGGCGAGGCCTTGCCCTCGGTCTTGGGATTGGCCTGGGCCTTTTGGCGCTCCTGCTGCTGCTGGCAGGCCTGGCGGCGATGTACCTTCGCCATGGACGATCTCGCTCGGGCCGGAAGGGGTCCGACCATTTGGAAGACGATGTGACCGTCCTGAACACGATCATTGAGCTCTCCCTGCCCGGCAGCATTCAGGTGAGCATTTCGAGCGACTTCACGCCATTGCCCGGGGAACAGCTCGGCACCGGGACCCAGGCCACGGTATATGCAGCCCGCGCGGTGGGCGCCGGCATCTCGGACCGGCTTGGCTGCCCGGCGGTTGTTGCCATCAAGCGGCTGAAGGCCGACCGCCTGCGGCCTTCGCAGCTGTCGATGTTCCACAATGAGGTGGCCCTGATGTGGCTTTTGCGCGAGCACCCGGGCATCGTCCGGTTGTATGGCTACTCGGAGGCCCCGCCGGCCCTGGTGATGGAGCGCTTCCAAACGGACCTCGGCACGCTCCTCCACTCGGAGGCCCCGCTGACCGAGCCGACGGTGCTGGACATTGTTCGGCAGTGGGCCACCGGACTCGAGGCCATGCATGCCCAGGGGATGGCCCACTGCGACCTGAAGCCGGGGAATGTCTTCCTCAGTCTGGACGAGCATCGGGGATCCTGGCGCGCGGCCCTCGGCGACCTTGGCACAAGTAGGAACCTGAGTGCCGACCGGACGTCGGTGCTGGTGGCCGAGAGTCCGGCCTTGAATGCCATGACAGCGCGCTACGCGGCGCCCGAGGTATTGACCGCCTTCCATCGCCGGAGACCCCTGGACCGGGAGCTCTACCTGCCGGCGGACATCTTCGCCGCGGCTGTCATGCTCTGGGAGTGCCTGCATCGTGCACTGCCCTGGAAAGGTACGTCCTATGTCCGACACGCCGACACTGCCCGGCATTCGGCGGGCAGGGGGGGGGGGCAGGAGGGGGCAGGGGGGATGCGGAGCCGATGCTGACCGATGCCTTGCTCGTTCTTGCCTCAGGGGCGGATTTCCAGACAATCTCCGAGTCTGTCAGGGCCGGCGCTCGACCGGAAGTGTCGGCTCCGCTCGCGGCCGGGCCTTTGGGCGACCTTCTGCAGCTCGCCTGGCATGCGGATCCCGGCTCTCGGCCACTGAGCTCCTCCTTCCGACAAAAGTGTGCCATGGCCGCGGCGCTCGAAATGTAGCGGCACCCAGCGTCCGACGCCTGGGCAGAGGGCCCTCCGACGGCGAGGGAGGCGCGGGGGGTGGGGGGGGGGGGGGCGTACTGCGATGGATGCGCGGTCCCCATCGCCGACTTGCCCGGCACATGGCTAAGATGCATCTGCCGGCGGGAATGCACAACAGATTGTTCCCAGAAAGCAAAGGAAGGAGGAAGTGGGCGAGAAAAGGGGCATCGGCCAGGAGGCGCCCTCCTTGCCAGGAGGGGGGGGGGGAGATCCCCGCCTCCGGTGGCCGAAGGCGAGAGTTCCATGGTGTCGAGCGGGGTTAAATTCATTCGAGCCCGAAGAGAATGGCAAAATATATGCCACTATTAATATGGCTATTGATGGCTATTCCAGAATGCATACATTCCACCGTTAGTCACAAACTCAAAATTCCTTCTTCTTTTTGTCCGGCCCCACCGGGCACGCTGCCTCGCGAGACTTGAAGGGCAGGTGAATGTGCTGGCTCTGGTCAGGCTCGGCCGAGTTCGTCGGTGGCCAAAACTAGAAGTGTGCCCAGTGATCCCGGTCTATTCGATGGGCACCGGGAGTCGCTTGCCTGCTTGACGTGACATGTTGAGGCTTGCTACTGCGGCAGGGCCGGAGGGCGAGAGCACTTGGATGATGGCGGAGAATCAATGCGAGGGATGGGGAGGGGGGGGGGGGGAGATCCCGTCCATTCCTCCTCGGACGTTTAGCCGTCCTGCCCTGTCGGCTCTGTGCGTGCGGCCCGGCTCTTGGATGGCCCATCGTTCCTTGGTCGAATCGTGGGGTGTGGCCGAGGACCATCCGGAAGAGTCATGGGAAGAAGCCTCTCTCCCTCTCTCTCTCTCTCCCTCCCTCTCTCTCTCTCTCTCTCTCTCTTTCTCTCTCTCTCGCTCTCTCTCTCTCTCTCGCTCTCTCGCTCTCTCTCTCTCTCTCTTTCTCGGGCCACTTGTCGCTGGAATCTCTGAGGGAGTCGGATCAGGCTGGGTCGCCAAACAGTGTCACCGTGGCGACCGGCCGGCATGTCCCGGCAAACACAGGGAAAGCGCCGCCCCTGATGATGACCATGTCATGGACCGAGAACATTTGAGAAGGAAAGAGCGAGTGGGCGAGGGAGAGCGGCGCCTCTCGATTCCCGAGGGACCATGACGGGGAGTGGCCCACCCAGCGCGGGGGTCACATTTCCCGACGGGCGGGCCTGGTCCAAGGGCTCGGCGGCCCTTTGGCCTGCCGATTGAGGGAGTTTCCTCCCTGGGCTTGGTGGTCTCCAGTGTGAGTCCGGATGAGGCATTGGCGGTGTCTCGCCCCCCGGCATCCAGCCCATGCTCAGGTGTGTCGAGGTTCTGACGAGAGTACAATGTGGCCTCGGTCGCCGGTCTTGCCCGAGGCGCGATGCCCCCATGCGCATTCCACCGGCCCTCGGAAAATGCCAACGATTGGATATTGTCCGTCAGACTGCCGGAAAAAACCCTGTTGCGGTTACTCTGCTACGGAAGCTGACCAGGCCGCCTCTGCCGCGGGGGGGGCCTCACAGGGAGGTGGCGAGGTTTGGAAGTCCTTTTTCGGGGCCGGCCGCCGGAAGGATTGGCCCCGCTTCCTCGGGGCCCAGTCGAGGGCCGGAGAATGTCGTGTTGGCGGTGCACGCGGCCGCGGGGGGTGGCAGAGTGGTCGAATGTTGGCGGAGGGGGGCGCCGGTCGCCCTGGGAAGAGGCCGGCACCGGCGGCCGTCTCAACTGGCGGTCCGGCTGGCATCCGTTCGTGTTTCGGCATCAGCCTAGTACAACACCGCCCACGGGAGTCCGGATGGCGTCATTTTACACCCTCAACCCGGCGTGGGCGGGTGTGTGTGTGCGCGTGACTGCGACCGGTACCCAATCCGCTGGGCTGCTTTTGCCCTTATTCCCCTTGCTCCTGCCCCTGCGACGGATGTTGTCTCGGGCGATCTTGTCAGGAACCGGGCTCCGAGGCTCTTCGCCGGATATCCACTCAAAACCCCTCCCCCCGTCCCCTCTTGCATCCCTCTCTCGCTTCCTCTTTCTCCTCCCCCCCCCCGCTTTTACTTGCCGCATCCTTGTGCGGGGCCGTTGTCGACCGCTGCCCACGTCGCCGGCTCGGACGATCGCCACCATGGTCCTATCGCGATTGGTCCCAAGGCCGTGGCACTTGGGCACCATGCTGTCGGTCGTGCTGGTGCTTTTGGGCACATGTGCCAGAAGCTCGGCCGGCAGGTCTCTGCTCTATTACCAAAAGGCCCCTGGACGTCTTTCCCCCGACCCCGGGGCCACAGTCCGACAGCTCCTGTTGCCCGGCCTGGCCGAGGCTCGCTGGGTCCGCGCCGATGGCAAGGTATACTATTCTGACCCGTCCAATATTGACTTCACCACCCTGGGGGAAGACCGCCTCGGGGCGGCTTTCCCGTTTCCAGTGGACATGATTTCGAATGGGCATTCCTTTCCGACCTCTCCGAGCCACTCCTTGCACCATGTCCCGAGCCTGGTTGACGACCGCGGCGTGGTGGTTTTCTCTGCCACCAAGATGTCCTTCTATGCGAATGACGGATTGCTGGGTGAGCATGAGGACAGCCAATTGGAGAGACTACTGGCCGCCGTCCAAGCCGAGCAACAAGCCGTGAGTGTGCTCTTCGGAAAGGCAGACGAGAACATATACTTCGGCCTCATCGATCACGCTACATCCCCACCGATTTTGCTTTCGACTCTGGGCTCTTCTGAACCGGAATTCCGAGCTTCTCTCGGCCTCGGTCCCGTCTTCCATGTGGTCAACAATCAGGCATATTTCCGCGTGGATGCCCTCACCGGGGAGGTGCAAAGGGATTCCCTCAGCGATGTCGATCGCATTCTTCAAGTCTTGCCGACGCGGCTGGTCTCCACCGATCCCGACAGCCAGGATGTGGTCTTTCTGCTGAACAGTGGGAGCATTTGCATTTGCATCGATTGGCAGCCATCCGGTAACTGTCCCTCCCAGGGGGCATCCATCACCATTGCCCTGACGGATGTAGGAGCCTCCACATCCGGGGAGTTGTTGAATCCCCCGCCACAGGCCCTCGCTCAGGGTCTTTCCTACTTGCTTTACCATGATCCGGGAACAAGCGCCGTCTGGCGCTTTGATCTTCACCCCGATGGGACACACATTACCAAACATCAAGAAATTGTCCTTGCAGGAATGTCAGGCTTCCCGTCTGTCGGAAATCTGCGCCTATTGGCTTTCAGGCACACGGGTTCGGCCGAAGATTGGGTCTTGTCGGATGGGGAGTTTGTCCACTTTGACCCGAATGCCTTCCGGTGCCAGGAAGACCCGTCCATTGTGTGTGACGATGAGAGCCGGTCGTCTGCCCAGGGCTGGTCATGCGCTGAGGGAAGGGTGCTGGCGCCGTTCGATTCGCAAGGCCACCTCTGTGGTGGCTGCGATGACGAGTGGACAAAAACCCGTCGAGATCCCTTTGATGGTGCGACCGACATTCGAACGCCGGAAGCTCACCCTGTCATGTGCCCCTGACGATTGCCCCATTTGCATATGACCTCTTTTCTGCCCTGCCCATCGTGTTTGCCGGCGGACGGCTGGCCAGGCTCATGTACCTTGTGCTTGATCGATGGCTGCCGCGTTTGCCACCAGAACCGGTGCCTGGTGTGTGTAGATGGCTACCGCCTCCATGTGGACACGGACAATGGGGATACCAGCTGTCTGGCTGACTGTCCGTCCGACTGGCCGGGCAGTGGTGGGGATCTCTGCACCCCGCCCGCCATGGGACGGCTGAGTCTTGCCTGGGGAGGGATGGACTTCCTTGAGCAGCCGCATGCCGGCGCTCTGGCGAGTTTGGCATCCGTCGCGGCCAGCCACCTCGTTTGGTCCCCCTCATTGGAGAAACTCATGCTTGAGTTTCCTCTGCCCTCGGCAAATACCCTGCTTGGTTTTGACCATGACTCCCAGGTGGTGGAACTGACAAGAGCGACAGATGGCAACTTTCTCCGCTCGCAGGCCATTCCTTTCCCCCTGGGTGCCCCTTCCATTGTGTGGTCTATGATGGAATTGGCCTTGCCCTTGGATGAAACCGCCTGGCCAGCCCTGGGCATGGTTCTTTGCGTTGGAGGTGCCTCTCTCCACTTTTTTATGGTGAGCTGCTCCCATCCCGGCGGAAGCCTGCCCACTGTGGGAGATTCTTGCCAGGCCAGCTTCCAATCCAAGGGTGATATGGACTGGCCGGGGTGCCATCTCCGGCGTCTGTCCAGGACACACATCAGTGTGGAAGCCGGGCCGACCAGCTCCCCGGGCGCGGTCATTTCCTTCGATGCATCCGGCACTCCCTTGGTTGTCCGCCAGCCGGATACCCATCGCCATGCGGCACTCTTCGCCGGGGTGCCGGGCGCCGGTGATCAACTCCTCTCGGTTGGCGGCCACGTGTCACGGATTCTGCCCTTGGCGCTGGGCGCGGATGATGTCCGACGGATAGCCCTGCCTGCGGCTGTGGCGGCTGATCCCCAGGGGTCGCATGGCTGGTATGGCATTTCGGTGGCCGACTTTTCGAATGATCGTACGATTGAAACCTTTCTCAATGACCTGGTTCCCGATGGGGAGAGCATCCTCTGGAGGGTGTTGCATCTGCCGCTCGGTGGGTTGCCACATGGCCGAGTGGCCGAGGTGCCTGGAAACACCCAAACCTTGGCCCAGCTACCGAGGGCATGGGACTCGGCCACGCTTGAGCCGGCCTTCCTGACAGTGGGCCCGCTGAGCGAGGAGTTTCCCGTCATTTTGCTGATGGTCATGCCGGGCGGTCTGGCAGCGGCGCCCTTGCGCTGCAATCCGGCCGCCAATCATCTGTGCTGGCTGAGGCAGGCCAGCTTCCATGCCTTCCCGGGGGGTGTGCAAGTCGTGCCTGCCGAGGTGACCGTTGCCCAGGTCCATGGCCCTGCCGCGGTCGGCACTTTGGCAGGGGAGGAGCCCTCCATCACGATTGTGTTTCAAGTCGCCACCGGGCCGGCCTGGACCATGGACATTCGGCTGGCGGCTTGCCCAGATGGAACGCACGGGCCGGAATGCGTCCTTTGTGATGAGAGCTGCGAGTTGTGCGATGGCCCGGGGCCGAGTCGGTGCACCGCGTGCAAGCTCCAGCTCCCGGATGGCGAATGTGTGGCCTCCTGCCCTCCGGGCATGGAGGAAGATGACAACAAGACCTGCACTTGCCCGCCGACCTGTGTCTCTTGCGTGCGGCTGGCCTCCCAGCGGTATGAATGCCAACAGTGCCAAGACAAGTATGTTTTGACCCAGGGAAGTGATCAGCAGCCCATTTGCCTACCCTGCCATGAGACCTGCGCCACGTGCGATCTTGCTGGCCATAAGGCAGGCTGCACCACTTGCGGGGCTGAAGCCTATCTTCACCACGGCATGTGCGTGGCCTCCTGTCCCGAGGGATACTTTGGTGGTGAACTGGGCGGAGAATGTGATGCCTGCCCGCGGGAGTGTGCAGCGTGCACGTCTCAGAGCTCTTGCACAGCTTGCAAGCCCTTTCATTTCCTCCATGACGGCGTTTCTTGCAGAAAATGCGATGGCTCATGCGCATCGTGCGAGAGTGCGG